ACCGTGGGCCCAATTATAGGTGTCAATCGGGCGGGTTCGAGCTGGGTTCAATTGGGTTTGGGTTCAAACATGTTGTGGGTTCATCGGGCTCATGTTTATCGAGTTTAGGTTCATTGGGTTTGGGTTCAATCGGGTTGCAAGCAAATCGGGTTATGGGTTCATTGAAATTTGGATCGGGCGGGTTGCGGGTTGTTTGGGTAAGCGCATCGAGTAACTTACTTCTTACTCGTTAGTCGTTACCAACTTACACATTTTATTACACTAATTTAAATATTTTTATCAATTTTTAACCAATTTCTTTCGAATATATACTTCATTTTAAAAAAATTAGTCAAAATGTTGAATCAATTTATATGACTTGCAAACTTGTTATGTAATTAATCGTTATTGGTAAAGTACACTAGCTAATAGCAATGGTTATATCATCATTTGCAACCAAAAGACACAATTAATTATTTATTTGATATTTTAATATTATTTTAGTAGTAATTGGATTAAAGTATCTCGTTTAGTATAACCATGCAAATCTGGTATTTGGCGTATGATATTTGGCAAAAGTAGAGCGATAAAAGGAGTTATCTCGAAATAACTCATTGCCCAAATAACTTTAGGGGTCGTTTGGATGGGTTAATTGAGAATGTGGTATTTGTGAGATCAAATAACTCATTTTCTCTATATGTGGTATTTGTGTGTTATTTGATAAATTTTAAAATAAGAATGTCTTGTTTGGATGAAAGAAAGTTGTGAGTTATTTGTATTTGGTATTTGGTACCATTGAATGAGAAAATACTATACTGTCCTCAAAATAAACTCATCCATCTATACAAATCCAATCCCCACGACCATGTCCTCAAATTGTCTTTGATTGGGTTTCAAGATTTGATTAGAGATCTAATCAAGACAACAACATAATCGTTCAAGAAAGGAAGAATCATACACAGATTAGGCTTAAGTTGAATCGAAATTGAGAAGACCCACAGGAGAATTCTTTGCTTTTAGATCCACCGCTCCACCAGCGCATCCAACGCCGAATCCCTCTCTCCACCACCACCTGCCCAGCTTCCCTTCCACCGTCGACCCAGACCAATCGCATCGCATCCCACGATTCACATCCTTAACCCAAATCATGACATAGGCCACGATCCAAATCCCCAATCTAAATCGTGACTGGAGCCCCCAGCCGCGGCGAGAGATAGAACATCGATGAATTCTTGCCCGATGCATCTTCTCTTCTCCCCAGCCCACGCACATGCATCCCCAAATCGAAACCCACTTTAGATGATAGCACTCGCTTCACAGCTCTACTGAACCTCAATTCTTGCCTCCTTCGACCAACCGCCATAGCTTTTGAAACCTATATCGTCGCATGAATCCGGCCGCCGTTGCATACTCCGCCGACAAACCCCTCTTCATTGCGATTCGAAAAATAAACCCACTTCCGTATATGCTATGGAAAGCTAAAATTCCCAATTTCATAATTGTCGTCGACAAGGAGTTGAAGGATGGAAGGTGAAAGCTAGAAATTGAGAGAATGAACAGAGAGGGAGAAGAAGAGGTAATGGAGTCGTCTGTGAGAGATGAGCAAAGGAAGAAAGAGACAGAGGCAGCGTGGGAAGAGAAAGTAAGTAGAATGCGAGACGGAGGTGTTATTTACAATAACTCATTTTTGCTTTATTTCAAAATAACTCATCTTCAAATAATCCATTCCACCAATTCGAATCCAAACGAGTTATTTTGGTCCAAATAACCCGTTGTGAGTTACTTGGGTCAAAATAACTCATCCAAATCACCCATCCAAACGACCCCTTAGTAAACTGTTGCCAAACGAGTTATTTGTAAAATTGTTCGAATTACCCTAAAAGTTGAACCATTAAAGATTGACTATCAAATTTAGTACAATTGTTGTGATTTCAATCATAACTTACTCAATAACATATATCATATACACTTAGCCTTACTCTCAATCGTCAATATTAAGTTAATATATGTTGTTGATCGTATACTCCAAACCATCAATATATTATACACTAACAACACACCCTAACCATATATCCCTATGAGCTGTGATTTTGCTAGTATAGTTAATTTAAAGTGAAATTCATACTTTGATTTTCAAAACATAGATAAAAAAGTGATATTTGCTATACTCTAACCATAAATCATATACTCTACACCATATACCTTGTACCCTAGCCACGTACCATAAACAAAAATTAAAAAGGGATCTCCTGCCGTTAAAGATTTTAAATGAGTTCAAGTGAATATATGTTAATAAAAAACTTAGAACAGTCAAAACCATCAATACCTTATACCCTAACCATATACACCCTAAACCATTTGTACCTTATAACCTATACCCTAACCATATACTTTTATACCATGAACAACGAACCGTCAAAAATTACTTATCAAGTTTATTATAATTGTTGGCTCATATTCACCCGCCCATAAATTTTCCATTCCAAAGTTTCCATCCAAACCTCCTTCTCATTTTCCATTCCAAAGTGACCTGCAACCCGATTAACCAAAAATTTCAAACCCTCAACCCGACTGAGTTATTGCAATCGTAAGACTTAACATGCCAATTTTAACACCCATTTTGAAATGAAAGTTCAACTTGAACACAACTTAAATTTACGTCAATTTTACTAAGTTGTTGTAAAATGACGATCATGTAGTGTTGAAATTGCGATAAATGTAGAAGTATAGAAAACAAGTAGACAAATGAAGTGAATTTTTCTAAAATAAATGATTGTTGTAAACACCAAATTTATTTTATTCTTTCTTTTTCAAAAAGATTAAAATACTAAAATTTTCCTCCTTCTTTCTCCTTCTATAAATTAGAAACAGACAATTTTCCCTTTTCTTTCTCTTCTATAAAATTGAAAGAACCAAATTTTCCTTCTTTTTCTCTTTCATTTAAAGAACCAAATTTTCCTCTTCTTTTCTTCCTTCCATTGAAAACTCAAAATTTCCCTCCTTATTTCTCTTATATAATCAAAAGAACCAAACTTTTTCACTTTTTCACTTCTCACAAATCAAAATCACCAAAATTTTCCTTTTTTCTTTTTTAAAAAAATTCAAAAAACCTAATTTTCCTCTTCTTTCTCTTACCAAAAAGTTGAACACACCAAAATTATCCTATTATTTTAAAAGTATCAAATTACCAAATACATTGATTTACCTTATTTATATTTAATTGATAGCTTTATTGAATAGTTAAATTAACCAAAATTTTAATTTATATATCATATTAATATTTTTCATGATCTCAGTTATTAATTATTCATTATTAATATTCACATTGGGCTGCTTTTATATTTCATATTTAATTTTTTAATATTGTTAAAGAACTTAGTGTTCAAGTGACCTTCATGTTCCAATTTTGTAATTTTCTCAAAATACATTATATCAAGTGAGTTTCAAAATTTTAAATTTCCTATACGAAATGAAGAAATCATTTTACCTAAGTTTAGAATGAAAATTTTATTTTGAAAAACTATGTATTATATAATATAATAATTATTCAAGTGGATTAGGTGAAGTTCGGGTTGAGTCAGTCGGGTTGCGGGTTAGTGGATTTGGGTCAATCAGGTTTGGATTAATCGGGTTGCGGGTTTAATCGGATTGCGGGTCAATCGAGTTCGGGTTAATCGGGTTGCAGGTCAGTCGAGTTGCAGGTTAGTTGTGTTGCGGGTCAATCGAATTGCGGTCAGGCAGGTTACGGGTTGTTGACTTTTAGTCAATTTAGGTTGTGGTCGGGTTACGGATCGAGTTGATCGGGCGAGTTAGTCGGGTCGGGTTCTGTTTTGACACCTATGGGCCTAGTTGATTTCTCTATATGTGTTAGCAGCCCACTCGACCACTCTCCCAAGTTGTCCCAACTCCCACATCGATACCCAAGTCTCAATCTTAATTTTGAGAATCTCGTCCCCTTCTTCATTTATGACCACATTTCACCAGAGAGTAGAGACGATCGTGTCTCCATATGACAACATGTAAATGTTCATAACGTTATGGTGCAAGTTGAGATGCTTTGACTTTGTATCTTTATTATTTACTAAGATTTATGGTGTCAAAATTATTCATGCATGTTGGAATTTATGTTTTAAGACATAAAACCCATTTTTTTCCTTGGCTATTGATTCAAATTTTTTTGTGTAGTTGACTAATCAATTTGTTTATTTTTCATTTAGTATGGTCTATCTGGACCAAATCGGACCAGACCTTACATACGTGGTCTGATCTAGACCATATAGTCTGTGATCTGTACTCTAGTCTAATCTCTTGGTCTGGACCGTAAACCGTATATATGATCTGGTCTAGAAGAATAGACCACACCGTTTCCCAGCCCTAGTATCGAGGACCAAGCTTACAGCCTTACGCATCGTACTGTCGGTGCTCACCGTTGCAGCAGCCCCAATAAAAGTTGGGCGAAAAAGCCAGGCAGCCGGACCGAACGGCAGAAAGTAGAAAGCAAAGCCCAGCAGGCCACAGTACAGTACGAGCCTGCCTGTAAACGACACCGTGCGTGATCTCATTCATTAACCAAACGCCAAACGTCCCAAACTACAGTACAAACCCATCATCGTAAAACAAGTCGTCACCTTTTTCACCCGCTCCAACGGTCTCCAATACCCCAAATCTCGAGAAAGAAAGGGAAAGAGCAAGCCAAGTGAACCAAGCAGCAGCTGCAGGACGAAAAAGTGGAAACTGAAATTTACTCTCCTCCTCGGAAAACGATCGACGAATATGATCATTCATCATTATCCTCCATGGGTACTTCTCACTTTGTCTTGTAAGTTGTAACTGTTCTGGCCCGTAGTTTGTTGCTACTAATTAAGATTTAAGCAGAGAGCGATTATCTTTAACTAAGAATCAGCGGGTTTTTATATTCTTTCTTTCTTTTCATTTATGCTTTTCATGTGTGGAACAAAATGACAGGGAGGTTGGGACACTGGTCAGTGCATTCATGATCACAAGCTCGGATGGAGAAAAGGGGGAAAGGGCATTTACTCATATGTACAGGTGTCCATGTGAAAATGGCCTGTCTCTCGTCTTACCACCACTGTTGCCTCTCTAGTTGTTAGTCTCTATCTTCTAATTTTGCCTTTTCTTTTTTCTTTAAAGCAGAGAACCGTCGGTCATCATCATCATCGCCATTCAACTTATTCCTTCATCAGCTCGTTTGTTTTTGTTTACACGTGATAATGGAACTATAGTGCTTCTTCTTATTCTGCACTTATCCACCATTGCTACTACTACCATTAGCTTTTCTTCACCCGTTCCTTGCTCCTGTGGGTTTTGCAAGTTTTCTTTCCCTCCCTTTTGTTCTCCCTCTGATTTTCTCCTCCAACGACAAAAAAAGGCAAAGTCGAACCCAGAACCGGGAACCCAGGTGGGGTTTTGGGGATCCGAGGTTGGTTAGTGGGTCTGGTTTTGAGCTCCGATACGAAACGGTTTCCTCCATGGGAATTGGAGGAAGAGCTCTACCTGGGCTCTTGCTACTGCTGTTGCCCATTCTTCTTCTCCCTTCCGCTGTCTACTCGGTATGTTTAGTTGATTGCGTTTCTGAGCTATGTTGTTTCTTTCGTTTCTCCCTTCCTGTGATTTTTTCTTATGCCACTTAATCTTCTGAGTTGGAACTTGGAAGCTTCTAATTTTGTGCAACTGGGGATATTGCCGAGTATTAAGTATTGGAAGGTTTACATACTCTATGTGGTAATTAAGGAGTAGGTGAGAAGGGCAGATTAACGTCCTCTTACATCCAACTATTCATTCTTGATTGGTCAATAACTCAATACCTCTTTCCTGGTTAAGGGAAGTGAGAATCTTCAACCGGGTATACTCTTTTCTGGATGTACATGAATTGGGGTCTTTTGACCGACCATTAAGGGAATGAAAACTTTGTGGAGTTTCCTCTTTTGTGGCTGGGAACCTGGGTTATGATACTCTTTCTTGTGGGATTCTTCTCCTAATTCTATTGAAGCAATTTTGGGACCAAAAGATGGAAAAAGGATGTTCTCAAAATGGGCTTGCAAGTTTGAGCTTCAAGGTGGAAAATAAGAAGACTTTAGGGGTTTTCACCATTGCTTTGGTGGATCATCAACCAAAGGCTGTATATTGAGTAGATAACCTTTTGTGAACTTTGTTTGGTGGATGAATGCACTTCTTATTCTCCGAGTTTGCCTCTCATTTTGTGGAAGTACATCCTTATCAGGTTGGTTTGTTTTCTGGCAGGAGTTGTATGTTCCAAAACCTAGGCACTTGACTCTACTGAAGAGTGCTCTAGAGCGTGAAACTGTAAGTACTACTGAGTAAATGTAAGTTCTTGGTTCTCCATTAGTTGGAATTAACAGTATTCTGTTGGATGCGTTCTGGTGTTCTTAGTCGAATGGAGAGCATTCAGACATGTGGACTCCTTTGTCTGATCAGGGATGGAAACCGTGCATTAGATCATCAAATCCCTCTTGTGAGTGACGAGAAACATGTTCTTGTTTATATAAAATATGACTGGATTTCTGGAATCTCATATCATACTGATATCATTCTCATGGTTTTCTTCTGCAGTAATACCAGAGGATTCAGAGGGTTATCTTCAGGTGTTTCTTGATGGGGGCTTGAACCAGCAGAGAATGGGGGTACGTAGTTTGGCAGTTTTGAACAGTCCATTTTCTGTAATAATCGATAATAACAATGTTTTAATCACAGATATGTGATGCTGTAGCAGTAGCTAAGATACTGAATGCAACACTAGTCATCCCACATTTTGAGGTGAACCCGGTTTGGCAAGATTCAAGGTACTGTTGCTTGCGATTGCAGCTTCAGATTGTTTCAGTTTCCCCCAGTCCCATTTCATTAGATATCAAGAAAAGGGCACTATTGCTGAAAAAAGCTGCAAACTTTCTCTGCAATGCAGCTCATTCATGGATATATTTGATGTGGATCACTTTATTAATGTCTTGAAAGATGACATTTCTATAGTTAAAGAATTGCCTGATGATTACTTCTGGAGCACTCGGGAGTATTACGCTGCAGCCATTCGAGCCACCAGAATTAAGGCTGCACCTGTCCATGCTTCGGCCAATTGGTATCTTGACAATGTATTACCGGTGCTTCAAAGGTTACATTTGCTGTTAACTATTCTTTTGCTCAACTTTTTTTGTATTATTCTTCAATTTCAGAGATTTTAGCCCCTGTTCTATCCTCCAGTTAGGTTTAATGTCCATTGGTACCCCCTCTAAAACTTGCATAGTTCATTGTGTCTGATCCTCCAGTTATGGGATTGCTGCAATTGCGCCATTCTCACATCGGCTAACTTTCGATAACTTGCCTTCCGATATTCAACAACTCCGTTGTAAGGTGAACTTTGAGGCATTAGAGTTTGTTCCCCACATTAGAGCACTCGGAGATTCTCTCGTCAGTCGCCTCAGATATCCTTCTACTCAAGCCAATGACCAACTGCCTCCAGAATATCTGCGACAGACCTCGGATGTTATTGTCAAACAAAAGCCAAGCATGTTTGTTGTTTTGCACCTTCGTTTTGACAAGGTTAGGTTGTAACTTGTGTGGTTTGTATGTTGTTGAGAAGTCTTCAGTCTTTTGACTAACCGTAGTTATAAATTTGCAGGATATGGCTGCCCATTCAGCATGTGACTTTGGTGGAGGGAAAGCTGAAAAGTTGGCTCTAGCCAAGTACAGACAGGCAATTTGGCAGGGGAGGGTCCTGAACTCACAGTTCACTGATGAAGAGTTGCGGAATCAAGGGCGATGTCCATTGACTCCAGAAGAGATTGGATTAGTTCTTGCAGCTTTGGGTTTCGACAACACTACCCGCCTTTATCTCGCTTCCCATAAGGTCTGCTGTTGTAGATGTAGAAAGTTGGCACCTTTAGACATGTGCATGTGTTATCATCACTGAAAGGAATGACCTTTGCCTCTTCAGGTTTATGGTGGGGAAGCACGAATTTCAACACTACGAGATTTATTCCCACTCATGGAAAACAAGAAGAGCCTCGCATCACCGGAGGAGCGAGTTCGGATTAAGAAAAAAGCTTCACTATTAGCTGCAGTTGATTACTATGTTGGCTTGCACAGCGACATTTTCATCTCGGCTTCCCCAGGAAACATGCACAATGCTCTGGTAAGCGAGTCACCCTGATAATCAACTGCCTTAGATTAAGCATTGAACTGGAAATGAATAGCGAGTTTTATGATGTTCTGAAAACAGCTGGGTCACCGCACGTATAAGAACATGAAGACCATAAGGCCGAGCATGACTTTGCTGGGGCAACTGTTCCTAAACAAGAACATAACCTGGGGAGAGTTTAGGCAAGCAGTTGTTGAAGGTCATGGAAGCAGACAAGGGCAGATGAGGCTAAGAAGAGCAAAGCAGTCCATATACACATACCCTGCCCCAGATTGTATGTGCCATGTTTGAAGGTGACTGATACATTACTGTTATCATTTTCCCTTTTTCTTACTCTGATATTTGCTATAGGAAGAAGCTAATGAAGGGGCTGCTGCTAGTATCATATCCCTGTATGTATTTGCATGACATTGATTTGGCACCAGCCCCCATTATCGTTTTTGGCTTTAATTTGTTTATCCCTTATCTTAAATAAACACACACAAGATGCCATTCTTCTTTGATAATGTTATTGCCCAATAGGGCCATTCAATGTGATGTAACAGCTTGAAATAAAATGGTTGAGTTGTAAGATACATGGATGTATATAGGGAAGCTGTCAACTTTTGGGGTCCCTTGGCTTTGCTGTATTCTCCGTGTTCATGGCACGGGGGGCCAGAAGAAAAAAGAAGAATATTTTGATGAAAGAAAGAAAGAAAGACTACTGCTTGAGTCGATTATAGATCACAGGCTAACAACAGCTGTGTTTGTTGTCCCAGTATGTCACTTCCTACTAGATCTCTTTTCTTCCAGATTTTTGGATGCTTTCCTGCCCATCTTTGTCGTGTGGAGGAACCCTTGGGACAAAAATAATATCAACGGAAGTCCACCAAAATTGCCCATCTTTGTCGTGTGGAGTAGGGATGGGTGTGGGTCGGGTGCGGGTTTACCCTATACCAACTCCTAACCCGCCGGGTAAAGCCTTTTAAAATACCCGACCAAATAACCACCGGATATGAAAATTATATAACCATACTCTACCCACCGGGTAACCACGGGTATTCGGGTAACCATGGATACGAATCCTAAACTATGAACTTATACACATATATGCACATACATATTGTTGTCCACTAAAAATTCTCAATACTTCTAATTTTTCTAGCTTCAACAATCCACACAAATAAAAACAACAAAAACTTAATAATTGTTCTTACTTCTACAATCCACACAAACATAATAATCGTCTACATCTTCATCATCAATAATGATAGCTAAACCAAATTTCTCAAGCTAAACTAAATTTCTCAAGGGAAATTGACCCTTTGATTAGCGGGGCGGGTATAACGGGGCGGGTATTATCGATTACCATACCCGTACCCTACCCTTTATTTTGAAACCGGGTATTACCCGTACCCGCCCCTTAACCCGTCAAAGCGGGTAATTACCCTCGTTGACCGGTTACGGTCGGGTAGGGTACCCATGGTTACGGGTTGGATTGACCTCCCTAGTGTGGAGGAACCCTTGGGACAAAAATAATATCAACGGAAGTCGACCAAAATTTTTATTAGGGTGCGTTTGGATAAGTGTATTTTAAATGTAAGGTATTTGAAATACTAGCATTTGAAATGGATGTATTTGAAGTATTAGCATTTGAAATACATGTAATTCAAATTCATTGTTTGGATACTCATTTGTAATTTGTTTGTATTTTTGTATTTATGATTTTCAATTTCAATTTTTAATTTTCTGGTCACTTACTACAAATTTTGGTAAATTACAGTTTGGTACTCAAAATTATTTTTTCTTACAATTTAGTACCTAAACTTCTAAAATTTTACAAAAAGGTCCTGAAATTTTGATGGTAAAATTACATTTTGGTACCTTTATATGTTTTGCCTCACACTATAGTACCTAAACTTTTCATGTTTTACAAATAAGTCCATTCTTTTGTTAGGAGGTATTTCAAATCACTAGTTGTTGAAATGTATTTGAAGTTGACAAAAAATACACTAGACATGTATTTGGAAATCACCCCATGAATTTGACACAAATCCAAATACCAAATGTAATTAATATCCAAACACATGATTTGATATTTGAAAATCCAAATCACAAATACCAAATCCAAATCCTAGTATCCAAACGCACCCTTAGGGAAATATCCTTAGAAACACCAACATTTAGCTAACTTTCTCACCAAAAAAACATTTTGGCGCCAAAATGTTAGCTAAATTGTTATTTATGTTTAAGATTCCCAAAAAATATTTGAGAATCATTTGCTTGATATTAGAAGGTGGGGTTGCTTATCTGATGTGGCAGAAGTTTTTTTTTATTTTCTTAAAATAGGTCAACTCAGCGTCTTTGTTAGCCACGTTAGCAGTTAACTGACGGCACTAACGGAATCTGACGGAGGTTAACGGAGAGTGACAGAACTTGGACCGTTCAACTAATTTAAATGACTACGAATGAAATAAAACAATTTAAGTGACCAAACGTGAATTTTGTAGCAATTCGAGTGACCAAACTTGCAATTTAGCCGGATTTTTCTCAAGCTGGACTCATATGCAGATGCAGCCAATGCTGAACAAAGAGTTTTGGCCCAATGTGCTCTCAGCTTTTTATGGGCTTGACGATTACTTAGAGGCTATTATTGTTTCAAAAAGTTGCCCATATTTAAGAATACATCATTTTCAGAGCTTGGCCCAGTTCATTAGCAACCTATTTGTGTTCTTCTTCATCACTTTGCGCCATATATTTGACTTTGCGAGTGCCTGTGTACTCCGGCCAGGCGTGTTCATCTTCGTCCGACTACGATGAGGGCTCTGCCAACGGTATGTTCCATAGCGAAGATGTAAGTGAATTCCGTAATTCAGTGTTTTTTTTGGACCATCTTCTTACGAGATGGACTCTGCTTCCTACGTGTTTGATGTTCAATTCCATTTTTTCCGTATTGGGCGCCAAATGTTCGATAAAATGCTTCACAGATACTGGGGTTCAGCTCTCGACAAAGGCACTTAAGATAGGATGGCGAATTAAGGCCTCTGTGAGTCTGTGCTCTCAAGGCTTTAAATTCCAAGGTGTTCCCCTGAATGTCTAACGATTTCTTTCATCTTTGTACATACTTTGTAGCCACTAGGCATAGAGCATTCCTCTTGTGCATCGCAAGACCTGGCTGTACATCCATGTCCAGATCTTCGCTCCTCGCTCCAGCCGGCAATCTCCCAATCGAAAGCGCAAATCAAATTAGCCAGAGAGAGCTCCACATTTGCAAGTCCCATATGAATTGCAGGACATATTCTTCTCCCGTCTCCAAATGGTATCAGCTCAAAGTCCGCGCCTTTCACGTCAATGGAGCTCCCTATGAACCTCTCTGGCTTGAACTCTTCTGGGTTCTCTCGCCACGCTTCAGGGTCCCTTCCGATGGCCCATGCGTTTATGTGGACCGCAGTCTTGGCTGGTATTTCGTACCCGCCTAGGCTACATTTCTGAGTTGATTCCTTTGGAACCAGCAACGGAACTGGGGGTTGCAGTCTCATTGTCTCTTTAACCACGGCTTTGAAGTAGGGTAGTTGCTGAATGTCTTGTTCATTCACAAAATCTTTATTTCCAATAGCAAGTCTGACTTCTTTCTGGGCTTTCCCCATAGCTACAGGATTCTTCATCAGATATGTCATGGACCAGATCACAGTTGCCGCGCTAGTGTCCGAGCCACCAACAAATATGTTCTGCGAGGGGGGAAATTGGAGGAAGAGAGAAAACGAAGTTCCCTTTCTTATTTCCTCTTTGAACAAAGAAGAAAGTAGAAGTTATTCCAAGGAGATTGAGTAGAGAGTAATCAATTACCATGAGAAGTGCTTTGATGTGGTCGAGTGTGAGTTGGAATTTGAAGGATTGGTCCTTCCAAATCTGAAGTAAAACATCCAGAATGTCTTCATGCTCTGTCTTTTCTCTGGTTGGATCAAGATGTTCGTCGATTATCTCTTGGTAGAAAGCATCAAACTCCTTGAAATTCTTGTCAAGGCGCCCGGTCAAGCCAGTGACCTTATCGATAAAGCCCAGAACAGGAAAATGGTCGGAGAAAAAGAAGCTTGTAAACATTGCTTGAGTTTCATTTAGCAGCGACTGAAATCTGCTTCTCTCAATTCCTTCTTCCTCGTACCTCTTGTCAAAGGCCACCCTACAGATAATTGTGCTCGTTAGGGTCCTCATGGCCTCAGACAAGTCGAAAGGTTTCGATCCAAACGATGATGATCACGATATCTTCTCGATCATCTTGGAGACTTCATACTCTCTGATAGAACAAAAGCTTTGGACCCTATTCATGTTAAAGAGATGAACCACACACAGTTTTCTTGTCTCTCTCCAGTAAGCATTGTAGGGTGTGAATGCTAAGTCGCGACCATGGTACGATAGCATTAGCGCACCAGCAGAGACTGGCCTGCTGCAGAAGGTAAGGTCTTGGATTTTCATGACTTCTTCAGCCATCTTGGCAGTCGAAACTACCACAACCGAGGTGGAACCAAGTCTCAGCCACATCAATGGCCCGTATGTTTGAGAAAGTCGCCATAGATACCGATGAGGGGCAGAAGGATCAAGCTGGAGCAAGTTCCCAATCAAAGGAAGACCAGGAGGCCCAGGTGGGAGAGAAGCACTTGAGCCTTTCTTGTGTTTCTGCAGAAGTAGTAGTAGTAGGATGCAGGGGATAGCCAGGAGAAGGTAGATGAATGGTGCCATGTTTGAGAAAGTGATCACCTTTGGAAGTAATAATTTGAGAAAGATGCATTGCATCGCCTGTATATATAAATGGATCCCCTTTGGCAACTAAACGATTGTACAATTACTGGCTCCTAGTGGAAGGATATTAGCATTGTGCAATTGTCAGAAGGGGCTAGCCAATGCATCCAATGGCCTTTCATTCTTTATTCTCTTCTTGAGAAATCGTCAGCTGTTCATTGAAAATACAAAGCCGCCAGTGGCAAAAACAAGTGGAGGTGAATAAAATAACCAAACTTGGAAAAGTCAATCACGGACAGAAGGAGACTTTGCAGTCTGCGGCGATATGGACTGCCAGTTCTGAATTCTCACAGCTACCACAACCACATTTGCAAGATCCATACCGCATTGCATGCCCGTTTCCTTCTTGCGGTTCCAAAATAGGCTAAATTTTTCGTTCATCACATCAAGAATGCTTTCCTCCAATTAGGCACGTTCAAAAATCCTTTCTTCCCAATTGGTGCTTTCATTAATGGCGACAGGGTTCTTCATCATATATGCCACAGATCAATTCACACTAACAAAGTCTAGTGTCTTCACCGGTTTAGCAAGTGAAATGGTCCGACAAATGACACAGTCGATTTGTATCGATTCATATCAGTTTGACAAAATATGTAGAAATGTGAAAACTCACTAGTGAATTTGATCCAAGGTTGTCAAACCGGTTTAAGTCATTGAGTCGGTCAAGCAAGGGGTTTGAGATTTAATGGTCTGATCGGGGTCCGGCCGATTTGAGCCATTTTAGGTGTTTTTTAAAATATATATACAAATAAGGTAGTAATTAAAGATTTAATGACTGAAATAAAATATATCTTACATATATCTATAAAAAACTTATTTTCCACAGAATAAATCTATCTAACCTCCATGACCCACCCACCATCTCCCTTCCTTCGTTCATCTTCCTCTTTTCCCCCTCTCTTCTTCTACCTCTTTAGGGTTTAGGGGGGTTCTGGAGACCGTTTTGAAACTCGTCTAGAGTCGGACCGGGTCCAACCGGGAGTTTGATAAGGGTTTAACAACCTTGATTTGATCATATAAAATTAAAAACATATTTGAAGATAATCTATTTACAATTCATATTTAAATAAATTAACAAACACTCATATTTAAATACAATATTTATCGTCAATATGTTTATACTTGAATCCAACAAATAACATCATATAAATTCATAAATAAATAACAAAATTAATTTTTTATTAATTAAATTCACAAAAATGATGTCATTTGCTTAGATGTCGTCGTCGTAAATCGATCATGTCAGTTATATCGGTGGTGTGCACGCCAAGTTTGTGAACGACATCGCTTGAACCAAGTTCAACCGACCAGCATGACAACCATGGTCTCATTCACCTCTCTAATATTCATAATAGAAGCCTAATTAGTGTGACACCGGAAAATAGTAAGCGTAAATATTATTGCCTGGTCCGGACTTTTAACATTTTTAACATCCTGACCAATCTTTTCAATATATAATATCGTGGCCTGAACTGACCCTAAAGTTTATTTAATTGGCCAAACCCGAGAACTGTCTGTTATATTGGACGATCAAGACCGTTAGTCAACATATTTTGGCTTAAAATTTTCATATATTTTCACAAAATACCAGTTTTCCCATTTAGTGTGACTAAACTGAAAAAATATATAAAATTGAATTTTTGTTTGACTAATATTTATGTTTTCCTATTTATGAGATATAAAGCATTGCTCAAAAATAAATTTTTATTGGGTTATAGGTATAATATGCCCCTCTACTATGACGTTCTATCAAACATGCCAATCTACTATTTTTTACATCAAACATGCCCCTATACTTTGAAAAAATTATCAAACATGTCCTTCTGTTAAAATTTTGATTGAAAAAAAATCGTCAATCGTGGTTGAATCGATATTTAGACGACCCGACATCGGCAAATGGGAGGGAAAATGATAGTTTTGTCCCCAATTTTATTCCTCTAGGTCTTTTCAAAGTGAAATTATTTGAATTATTTGGCTATACAAAAGAACCAAAATAAATTCTAAAGTGAAATTATTAGGGATATTTTAGACATTTGTGTCGCCCAAACCAAAGTTCGGTCTTGGTTAATGGTTTTTGGATGAAAATTTTAACAAAAGGACATGTTTGATCATTTTTACAAAGTACAGGGGCATGTTTGATGTATAAAACGTCATAGTAGAAGGGGCATGTTTGATAAAACGTCATAGTAGAAGGACATATTATACCTATAACTCATTTTTATTTTGCAAGATGTCACAATTAATGGCGAATTGCGGGATTAGCTCGTTAGAGAGAGCGCGCTACGGAATCCCAATGCCGAGGATTTCCATGGTACGATAGGCCAGCGGCGTCGCCGTGTTCTTCTTTCGTCCTCTTCCTTAGAATTTCTCTCTCTAGAAACTAGTCACGGGCCCGGCCAGTTGGCCGGATTCCGTCGTCATCACATAAATAATATTATCAAATTGTATGTGAGATACGTGGGTTGTGATAGTATAAGCAAGCCTTAATATTCAAATAGTTGTAACATTCAAATTGTTTGGCAGAATAAAAAAGAATCAAATTATTAAAGTACTTCAACAATTCAAAATGATAAATATCATAGTATTTTTCGACATTGTTCGACATTGTAAGCAACTAAGTCATCGACTAAAATCTTTTTATGAAAACGAAAGACAAATCCGGACCGACTCCTAAAGACATTTTAAAATTACTATTCTATTTACTCCTCATTGTCAGAGATTGCTGTACATTTTCATTTTGACTTGTTTGCACATTCTCCGACATGAACAACATCATCACCTGCATCAATATTAACGTTTTTATCTCCATTAGTGATACATTTATCTCCATTACCAATTTTCTTTTCTTTTTTCTCATGTATTTCAATGATCTCTTCCTTGTTTTTCTGCATTTTATTGAGCACAAAAATTTGATGGTAAATTTTTTACAAATACCAATTTATTTTCTATTGGAGTAGTATTTTCTTTCAAAAAAGAAAAGGAGTAGTATTTACCTCGTCCAAGTTATGAACAATATCCACGATTTGTTCTTTCTACTCATGTGCATCTTCCTCATGAACAATGTATTTCTTCTTCTCAAGATAATCGTCATCTCTAGCACCAGATCTTGTACATCCACCATTAGCAGTCTCAATTTTGTTCTCTTGCATAAGCATTATGAATTAAGATCGTTGTCATTCAAAAACATAATATATAGTGTGATTTTCTAGAATCATAGGTTTTTAAATATATTGGACTTAAAATTGTAGCTCGATACAATTGTTTGCATGTTAGTGTGAAAGGCAGCAAAGTTCTACCGGAGGTTTATGTTATAAATGACATGCATTTCCTATAGATTAAAGAATACAACTAAGTGTCATTTGTGAATGATTTAAAAATTCAAGGCATATATTTGTGTATGGTATACAAATTGAAGACGTATACACTTGATAATACAACCAGTGTATACAATTGCATGCATGCTAGTGGGATAAAGGAA